ATTTCCAGTGTGGAGCCACCAGAACCAGAGAGCAGTGGCTGGTGGGCATCTCCTCCCAGGGCACCCAGCGCCAGGAAAACACGTGAGTCCTGGGAAATGAAAGGTCTCTGGAAACTGTAAATTGCCCTACAGACGTCATGTATTATTATCATAAACATAACCTTACTTTATTATCATAAACATAACCTTACTTTATTATCATAAACATAACCTTACTCCTGCACGCCACATTCTATCCCCCATGTTCTCCTGAAATCCTCACCCAGTCAGCTACCCGATGCCGCTGTAGATCTGGATGGAAAACAGGTTGGATTGTGTTTTGCCATTTGCACCTCACATTCCAAAGAGCTTGTATGAATCCAAGAACACTCATGAATTATTATTATTTTTTTGTATGTCACAAACATTTCGGTTTTGCTGTTACAGCGAGACCGTATAACTTAATGCCCAAACTGCTACCACTTGGAGCATGAAAGTCAATGTTAAAATTATTCAAGGACTGGAATCAAGAATGTAGACCATGCTGAGCAAACCAGGATGGGTGCTCACACTGACTGCAGCCCCCCCGTTACGGAAACTCTAGCTCAGTGCATGCATTACATTACACTAAAGAGATAAAAGCTGATTAATTCTGTGGCTTAATATTTTGTTTTCTTTCTCATTACTTGGCATTCATTATGCAGGTGTATCTAGAGAAGAGAAAATTCTTCTCTGGTCATTTCCACTGTTTTTATCTCTTTGGTCAATTTTTTTTTTCTATGTGAGCTAGCTCCTACCTAAATTGCACCACTTTCTATTTCTCTTTGCCAATACTTCTTCAATTGTATCTTTTTTTTTTTTTAACTAATGTAGAAGTGTTATACTGTAGGTGTTTTTGGAATCATGTCATTTCCATTGGGATGGTATCTTTTATTTTAAAAAACCTAGAGTTGCTATTTTGAGATCTAATTGTGTGGCATTGAATATGCTCATTGCTCATTTGTTTTAACGAAAGCATCCTTAAACTCAGGCTTCTGGGTTAGGACACACCTGCTTGGAAACACTGTGTTCCAGCCAAAAGTGCGTAAGGGAGAGGACAGGGAAAAAGGCTGTCCAGTATCACACGAGAAGGTGAGAGAACAGGTACATCCTCCCACTGGGGACTGTGCAGGAAGCCTTACCTGGATTTTAAACTTTGTACAAAGGGAATTTATGTTCTGTGAAGCCCACTTTCAGAAAACCAATTTGGGGAAGAACCGAAAATAAGATGATGAGAATGTCATCAAGAAATCCAAATGGAGATTAGATTTGGTGAAGAGTAATGCATTTATCAGAATAAAATACAGACAACAATTTCAGCCACAGGGCCCATCAAGTGAAGCAGCCAATGTGGTTTCACAACCTTGCACCTTCCCACCCACACCCTAAAAAAAAATCACAAAGGGTTGAGACATTTTATGCCATGCAAACAAATAGAATGCCTCTCCCTGAAAACATTGCTTTGAAATAACTGTGCTTATTTATATTTAAGCTAAACCCTCCATTAAGGTAGGTTTGTTTTTTAATTCTTCTCAAAAAAAAAAAAATGTGGTAAGGAGAGTAGCAAATAAAACCAGAAAAAAAAAAGTCGGCAAAAAATTATCAATTACATAGGAAGGACTTATTCAAAACACAGAACTCTAAATAGATAATACAAGTTTAGCCATGGTAAAAATGATTTACACACACACACACACACGCACACACACATGCACACACGCACACAGACACGCGCACACACGCACACACACACGCACACGCACACACACGCACACACACACACACGCACACGCACACACACACACACACCATAGTGAGCCCCATCCTCGAAAGACTAGAAATGAATAAACCCAAATATTCATCATGGTTGTCATTTTCTTGTTGCTGGAATCATAATTTTTTTAAAATTCTTTGTACATTTCAGAAATTTCCACACTTTCTGCCATGAGCACATATTACTTTTAAAATAATTTTATTGCACAAAGAAACAAGTAGGGAAATGATAACAGCACCTGAAAGACTAAAAGCTCCCTGAAAGCTTTCTAAGCAAAAGGTTTGAGCGACAGCATCCATCTCCTTGCCCTCCCCCACCTCCATGCCGTAACTGAAAATCTTTGATATTGTTTAAATTATGAGAATCCCATACGCAGTGGTGTCAGCACATTCCTATATTAACTGGGCAAATGCCATTAGATCTGCAACAAGGAGGGATAGATAGGTGTCTTGGACCAGACACCTTCTAAGAGTGCTAGGTAGGTTGAAGTGCGGTGTCATGGCCTCACCACAGACGGGCAAAACCCACACACGCCTTGCGTGAGAGCTACCCAGCTTGCTCTCCAGGGCCGTGTGAGAGAGGACCTGAAGTCAGAGTCACAGGCCCTCATCAGTCACATGCATCCTCATGCACGGGTGGACAGCTGAAGATGGGGAATGCATGTCCGTGCCAGCTTCAGGGAAGAGGCACTCTTCTCAAAGCCCCACATGAAGTCTTCATACTCAGAGGGACATGCTGTGAGAACAGGCACCACCATCCCCTGAGTGTTCATGCATCTAGAAGGATTCAGAATCTGCTTGAATTGGCAGTTTCTCCAAGTCGTGAGCAACATCCATCCAACTATGCGCCACGTGCTGAATTCATTTTTGTCCGTGGAACAGCTGAGCCTCTTAAATTCCAGGAAGCAGTTAGTGAAGGGTTTCTCCCTCCAGCCTCTGCCCCCACTTCTGTTTTAATGACAGACACAGACAGAAGGAAGGCAAAGTGACAATGCAGCTCCTTTGTCCAAGGAGAGAATAGCCACAATAATGGCCCTTTGCAAACCTCCTTGGTCTCCCGGCATTAATGAATCTCATTAGTATGTGCAGGTGTGTGACCTCCAACTCCCACGATTTTCATGCGCAGAGGTCTTGGGGAGAGGATTTCATTTACCAGAGGGGACGCCCTAATCAGCCACGGCCTCCTCCTTTGTTGATAGACTCGCCGTTAGGGCAGAGCTGCAAAGCTGCAAAGCTGCAAAGCTAATGGGCACCGTGTTCTTCCTACCCTGGCTCTGCCCAGCCCGGGCAAGGATTCCACTCCCCACCACCCCAAAGCAGGAGCTGTATAGATCAGTTCTCTTTAAAGTGCTTTGTTCTCTTAGCTAATATTGACATAATCAGACAGAATGGTATGGGGTGCAAGTTATAATACCCATATTTTCAAGATAAATAACTATAAGATCGCTAGGTTAAAATTCCCAGTAGGAGAGAGGGCACATTAAAATCTAGTTCTGGCAAAGATTCTGGGCACCGGTTTCTAGCTGTGCCGTTAGCTTTGCAAAGAAGCACAAATGTTCAGGAGAAGTCTGTTCTATACAACACACATCCCTTCACATACATCCTCTGCGCTCCTCTTGTTTGGTGCTTGTCACATGCTCTTTGGACCTGTTAATCGTTTTCCCTGCGAGCACGTCCTCCCGTGAGACTAAGATCCAGCTTTATCTAACTGTACTTCTCATAGCTAATCTCTTCTCATAGCGCATGCCACACACATGTGCATTGATCTTTTACATTAAATATCACATGTAGGAGAACACAATGGATGAAAATATTAAGCAGCATGACTTAACAAAAACATCACAGGCTTTGCAGTCTGAAGACCGACTTATAACTCACAAAACAAGTCACTATAGCTGTTACTCTGAGTGAAATTGAATTCCTCATCTGTCAGAGGGGATAATCGCCCATATCTTGTAGGATTATTGAAATCTCAGAGGTCGCAAATGTGTGGCACGTTAAGCGGTAGCTGTGGCTGTTATACTGCATTTTCTGGTAGAAATAAAGCTTCTTTCCCTTGGATAAAACTTGTTATTACTTACATAGCACTACTTTTTTTTTTAGTTCAGTAATTGCTTATTGTTTTATTATTACTATTTTTAAAACACTAAGCTGACTATTTGAGAACACCCCTGCTGCCCGGGATACTGTGGGATGCGGATGCAAACAGAAGCCTCCGCCTCTGGGCGCTGAGACTCTGCAGAACCCAGCCTAACGCGACGGGGCGTCTAGGGCAGAAGCCGGGTGTACCAGCGGAAGCACTGTGCCCGCGGCGAGCCACGTGTGAGTGCTTGTCTACTGAGTCAAGTGAAGACAAGGGCGGTGAGGCCACGGTGAGTGACTGGGTTTGGAAGAGACGCTGGGAGACTGAGTCCGCGGATAAATGAGAGAATGAACGGAGGGTGCTCAGCGGGCCCCGTGTGGTCAGCAGGTGGCTCCGTGAAAGGCAACCGGCAGGCGTATCAGCCTCAAAAAACACAGACTTAGGGCTCTGCGATGGGTATCCCGCCTGTCTTTCCTAGGGCTAGTGGTGGGAATTACTTTACTGTTGGGGGCTGACTCTGGTGTGATGCCTTATACTAATCATTCACTATGGTCTGTGATGTCCGTGTGCTGCCTTACGCAGCGGTAGTCGGCATTTTCTTCAGACTCGGTTGCTGCCTTGTGACTGGATAAGAGGCCTGAGTTGTTGCACATAAGCAAATGCTCCCAACTCCCATGCGGAGGGCCCCATGGTGGGAGTCTGGGGGCCATGAGAACAAGAACAAGAAGAACTCTCCCAAGAACTGGCCCCCGATGGATGGTTGGTAGTCAATGACGGGTAAGACTCCCCATGGGAGGGTCAACCTAAAACAGGCACAACCGTGGGGGCCAGGAAGGAGCTGCCACTTGGGACTGAGACAAAGAAGCACTTCAAGTGGCTGCATTGTTTTATGTTGCCTATCTCGGCCTTGGCTTTTGAGCTCTGTCCGGCACCTTAACTTTAGTAACCGTTTTGAGGTCTGAGACCATGGGAAATTGTTCCCTTTTGAAACAACTCCAGAATTGACTGATATCACTGCTATGCTCAGATGCTCACACACAAGGAACTAACCTTGGGTCTGGGGGGTATAAAAATAAAGCGACCGGTGCATTGGGCACTCGAGTCATTGTCATGTCCGTGTGTGCCTGTGTCGTTATTTTGTGTTCTGTGTCATGCCCCGTCCTGCAACCGGGCCACGTCACTTTACTTATTTCGGCCTCGAACACTGTGCAGGAGCCTCTTTCTGGTTAGCTGAGCACCTGCACCAGGCAGTTCAGAACTGTCTGCCAGGAAGGAAGATGCCCATCGGCCTATTCTGTGTCCTTCCTTCTAGCACAGAATGATGACATCCTGTGTCAGTGTCATGGATTCTAGATATGGTGGCTCAGGCCATAGAAATGTCCTGAATAAGGAACGGCCCCACCTAAGTGGGATGGTGCCCTGGCATAGTGCCCTGGCACGGTGTCCTGGCACGGTGTCCTGGGAGGCCAGAAACCTGGTTCTGGTTCCAGTTCCAGTTCTGCCACCCACCAGCTCACCCAGGCCCAGAACTGCTCCTGGACTGGGTTATTTCTGCCCCTCACAAAAGGCCCACGCGTCCACTTGGAACGCTTGTGAGGCGAGGTCTCAACACCCAGGCCTGAAATAAGACAAGTGGCAGCCACAGTTCCAATGTCTGCCCTCCTGCCAGCCGCAAAGAACCCCAACATCTCGGAGCTGGAAGGCCCCTCCGAGGTTCCCTGCAGCCCTCTCCCGCACAGGTGAGGAGCTGCGCACCGCCCGGCCGCCAGGACGGGGGACAGAGGCGGCGCCGCGCCGGCAGCCGTGGCCTCAGCTGCAGGCCACTGTGCAGTCATCAGACGTTATATTTAACGCCGTCACATTTGGGCGGGCAGCCTGAGCACCAGACACAACTGGCTCGGGGACGTTCCCCACATAACTTCAGCACCGTTCAGAGGCTGGTTTAGGCCGCCGTCTGGAAGCACCCAGAAATAAGAAGTCATGACGTTGCAGAAGCAGACAGCAGCCCGTCGGTGCAAGAATAGATCTACTTGTGGAGCTGCAGGCGGACACTCTGCACCCGAGAACCCCACGAGGTGAAAAAGTGTTAATATGTTGCTCACAGTCCTCTCGTTAATAAGCCAAAGAACCAGAATTTGAACTCGGGTCTGCCTGGTGCAGGTGCCATGGAGTGAGTCTCTTTGTTTTGCTTTGTCCGCTCCCCATAACTGCTTCGTGCCCTGCAGTTGCCCTTAAATCCACTGTGGGATTCGGAATCAATGGGGTGCCAAAAGTACAATCTGTGCCTGAATATTGGACTCTTTCCAGTCACCTTGTATACTCTTGACAAGCCTTGTGCAGCCTGGCCTGTCTGGGCCCTGCACCCTGCCCGGCCGACCGACAGACGTTCGTCGTGCGCACGGCGGGAGTACGCAGCCGGGTACGCAGCCGGGTGAGCTCAGAACAGCGTGTTTACTGATCCCGACCTGGAGGCGCACAAGGGCTCCCAGCTGGGGGCACCGGCGGGCTACGGGGTCAGGACAGGACGGGAATGAGCAGGGCGGGGGCCCGTGGGCACGGGGAAGAGCAGGGCTGCCAGTGGGCTGGCGGGGCAAAGGCCTCTCCACATGGCGACGCTGCTTGGGGTTTTTGCACTTTCTATTCAAACGAGAGCACCAGCCGGAAGCCTTTCTCCCCGGGCACCAGTCACAAAGGAGCAGGCAAGTGGGGGACTCAGGGTGTCCGTCGCCCTCTGTGCACTGCCCACTCTGCGCACCTCCTAGACTCTCACCTTGCTCCTTTGGTCCTTCCTCCATCTCTGCTCAAACTCTTGTCTATTTTTCAAAACCGAGTCGGACCGGACTCGGCCTCCTCCCCGAAGCTCCGTGCCGCTGCCGGCTGGAGTCCGGATCCCCGTGCGCTGGGCAGGGCGCTGTGCCGCCTCCTCGCAGGGGAGGGCTGGGCCGCCCCGTCAGCCCTGTGGCTCCTGCAGCACCTTCCCGTGGGCCCTGGCACCCACAGGCACCAGGGGACCATCTGCAGGAGCCACACGAACTGACTCCTAGGCTGAGGGACCAGCCGGTGACTGACACCCAGAGGGGACAGGCCAGAAGGCTGTTTAACTGAGAGAGGGGTTTGATTCACGGAAGAGGAGAGCGTGCCTAACAGAGCCCAGAGCCAAGCTGGAGGCAGTGTGGGGACAACTGGGTGACATGGGCAGACCTGGGCGCCCGTGCAGCCTCCACTGCTACCTAGCTACAGAATGGGAGTAAGAACGCCGTCGCTTTCGGAGGGTCCCGTGAGGATTAAATGGATAATGCATGAGGAAAACACCCGGTACTTTCTAAAGTGCTCTGGAAACGTTGGTGTAAAGCCCCGACCAGTGTAAGCCGTGACTGAGGGTGCGGGCTACCAGCGTCCCAGGCGGTGTTGCTAACTCACACTCCGAGTGACAGTGGCGACTGTCTCCAGGCACGACTTCGTAACTCAAAGATGGAGCAGGATGAGTCGCTGTCTTGTTTTTTTTTTTTTTTTTTTTTTTTTTTGGGGTATTTTGTGGGCGCAGATTTTTTGTTTTCAAAAATTGCCTTTGTTTTTACGTTTTCCTTGGGCTTGTTATTTTAAGGTTTTCCCTTTCTTCGGTTAAAGGTTTTTTTTTCTCTCAGGCCTGTCTCCCTGTCTCACAGACAGTCGCTTTCCTGACATGCCCTCAGGAGTCCTGTCCTGTGCGTGTGGGGAGAGCGAGCTCTCTGGTGTCTCTCCTTACAGGGACAGTCCTATGTGGGATGAAGGCCCCACCCTATGACCTCGCTTAACCTTTATCGCCTCTTGATAGGCCCCGTCTCCAAGTGCAGTCATGCTGGGGGCTGGCACTTCAGCGTTCGAATGGGAGGGACACAACTCGGTCTATAGCAGTGACTGTCCCCCACGTGTGCTCCGCCACCAGAGAACACTGACCCATGCCCCTCTCCCACCCTCCCACACAGTCCAGTGTGGCAGTGACCTTGGTTTGTCCCCATCTACAGCTGCTGCAGAAGAAGTCTGGGGGTACTAAGCATCCTAGGCCAGGAAAAGAGGGGGCCCCTGCACAGGACTTGAATGAAAAGCACCTAAATTAACAAAGGTGCTATCAACAAACTCCAGGTTCTCCGCGGCAGCCGCTTCCTGGTGGGGACCGAATGGAGGAGATTACCAGAGCCCACGCCGAGCCCCTGATCTCGGGGCCACGGTCACACCCACTGGAGTCCTGCTGTGCTCCTGGCAGGGTGGGGACGCCCACGGCAGGGCCTGGAAGGGCTCCACCTGGGGACTTCACCAGGCCCTGGAGGCTTCCCCACCCTCCTCCCTCTGAAACGTTATTAGGTGACTGGGTCATGTCCAAATCTAACTGAAGTTAATCACATGAGATCAACAATCACAGACTCTGCCTCCCTCTGGGCGCCAGGCTCTGGGCTCCTCCCTGGGGGGGGGCCCTAAGGAAGCCCTGGAGGCTCTTGGCGAGAGAAGGAACTCACAAAACCTGAGACTTTTAAAAGCATCAAACCACACGAGCACTGGGTCAAAGACTAATTGTCAAAAAGGGCCCACAGCTAAGAAAAGCTGAAGGAAAGGCCAGAGGGAGGGCCCAGGAGAGGAGGTTCCAGAAGGGTGGATTCATGCTGGACCCACAGCCAGGTAAAACTCACAAAAAGGGAGACCAGCAGGTACACCCTCCCAAGGCGGGAAGAGAAGGGAGGACTTTTAGAAGTATGTCTGCTCCATGGTTGTAACTCTACCCCGTTCACATCTCGCCAGAGCCTGGGAGTCTGAGAAGCTGAGAAATGGCCCGTTTTGTGATGCAGACATACCGGGCAAGGCTTGGCAGGGAAGGCAGTGACAGCCGAAACCGCACCAGCGTCGGGTCAGGACACGTGACAACGACAGTGAGTGCCGGCCCCGGGCCCTGGCACCGGCCACGCAAACTCTCAGTGTCTTCACTCGTGAGTGGGCAGTGACGCCAGCCGTCCCTCCTGCTTGGCAGGGTCCTTGCAAGCGTCAAATGACAAAATGGACGTGCCAGGGTGCTGGGGCCTCAGGTGCCTCGTGCCGCAGCGCTGGCCCCAGGAGCCGGGCTAATGGCAGAGCGAGAAATTCGTCCGCGGTCCAAAGCCCTGCTCTGCAGTTGGAGGAACAGCCTGCATTGCAGCCCCGGCCCAGCCTCGGGCGGGCTTGGGACTGCACAGTGAGTGCACTCGTGCTGTGGCCGAAACAGCCCCCTGCACCCGGCCTGTCTGCACTGCTCCCTCTTGGATGGGAACTGGTTTTCCTTTTCTGACTTTGCATGTTCCCAGATTCTAGAACTAAGCCAACCATAAAGAAAGAAAAACTCCCTGTATGTCTCCTCACTGGTCCAAAGGAGATGAAAGCCATCCTTGCACGGCACAGGACTAGATAAGTCAGTACTTACGAAGCCTCTAGAACATGCTCGGCACAGAGTACGTGCTGCATTAACACGAGCTATTAGTAGTAGTACCGCGATTTTTATTGTTGTTGAGAGGATTGTTGAGAGGAACCAGTAATTTCCAGCACTCAGAAGCCCAGGTGCACGTGCAAAACGAGAGCCGCAGCGCGAGGGCCCGAGCACCAGATCCCAGGGCACCAGATCCTGCCTGTTTCTGCCTCCCGCTTGGCCTGGCCGCCCTGTTCTCTCTGACCTTCCAGCTTCCCTGTGCCGCTCCCTCTGCCTGCAGCCCGCTTCCCTCTGCGGGCCCCTGGAGAATTTCCACTCATTCTTCTGAGATGTCACTCATCCAAGAGGCCCGTCTCAGTCTGGAAACCTTGCTCTTCCTGAGGTGCCTACCTTCTCGTCACTGCCCCCTCTCTGGACAGCAGGCTCCGTGGGGGCAGGTAGATTAGTCGGGGTTCTCCGGAGATACAGAACCAACAGGGCAGAGAGGGAGGGAGAGAGAGAGAGAGAGAGAGAGAAGGAATTTAAGGAATTGGCCCACGTGGTTTGGAAGCTGGCAAGATCTGCAGGAGGGCAGCTGGCAGGCTGGAGGCCCAGGGAAAAGCCAGTGTCATACACGGCCTGAGCGTGAAGGCCACCTGGAGGCACAATTCTTTCTTCCTCTGGTGACCTCAGTTGTTTTATTATTATTTTTCCCCCTTAAGGCTTTCAACTGATTAGATGAGGCCCACCTACATTATGGAGGGTCATCCGCTCTACTCAAAGTCTACTGGTTTAAAGGCCAATCTCATCTAGAAATCCCTTCACAGCAACACGGAGACTGGAGTTTGGCCCGGCATCTGCGGGATGTGGCCCAGCCCGCTTGGCCGGTGAGATTAACCCTCACAGCAGGGGCCGCCCTTTCTCCGCACCCTCTGCTGCTGTCACTGAGCACAGGACTTGGCACTTAGGAGGTGTTCAATAAATATTTGTCAAACGAATGAACGGATAGACGGATTAGTGGCTCTGCATGATCACTTAGAGAGAAGCTGCTGTATTACAGAGGTAACCTGTTTTAAATATCCATGTTTGACTGGTTTGGGCACAAAACAAATGGACTTTTGGAAGAAAGCATTTGTTCTATTTTGAGCCTTCCCCTGTGGACCCCAGAGGCCAGCAGCGTTGATGGGCAGGCCGGCCTCCCCTCCTGTCCTGGCGGGGCCCCAGGACAAAGAGCGCCGCTCTCTGCAGGGCACGGTGGGAACGGGCAGGAGACACTCAGCCCCTGCCAAGAAACAGGCCACTGCTCTTCTGCGGCAGGAAGCAGCCAAGGCCGAGGGGAAGCACTGCAGGTGTCTGTTCCCGGAGCTCTGTGTTTAGGAGCATTCCCGTGCACGGGGAAACAATGGCGCAGACTGGGGCGGCCAGTGTTTCACGACTTGTTCGGAAAACACACTTGTAAATGTCTGATCAGACACTTTATGTGAATGTGCTTCAAATCCAAAGTGCCCCTGAGCCAGTCGGATGTGGTCCGGGTAACACGGAGTTTTCCTCTGTGTTCCTCTTGTGACGTCTTGAATATTGTGCAGGATAAGGCTTGGGATCGCGGAAGCATACCGCCCAGGGAATCCCATGTTTGCTCCGGGATGTATTTCAGACCAGAGGGTTATAAAATTTATGAATTGGCAGGAAAGCTGAGATCATCCAAACACGGGATAAAGTAGAGGCCCCGGAGGTCAAGTTTGGGCTCAAGGTCACAGGGCCAAATGGTCCTGGAGCGAGAACCAGGCTCCACTCCTCCTGGCCTGTCCAGAGATTTGTCATTATTCCGTGGTTTGTCATTGGTCAGGAGAGGTGAAGCCTTTCCTGGACTAATAACAGTAACCAGTTAGACTATAACTTGCAAAAATAGAAAAATGCTTTCTGGTCTAAAATTCAACTCACGGTTTAGATCAGAGATAAATTCCATGATTTCCCCCTTGCCAAAACCAGTATTTATGGCATTTGAGTGAGCAGTAAATTACCAGTTGCAAGCAAAAAATGTGCTTTCTACATGTTCACAAACATATCATCACCTCCAATACTGCATCACTATAATACAGTATATGGCAAATTAGCTTGTGATATTTGTTGTAATTTAATCAACCATCTAATATATATTCTACCAACGCATGGACGTGACTCATAATTGCAGTGTATTGATTCAAACAACTTCATATTAATGAGCCAACAAAGCACTTGAAAATGAATGTTAGCCTTATCTCAGATATACATGTTTATTCTATAAATTTATGCATGTAGATTGCTATTTAGATGTGCAAAAATACATTTATCTTTTCAAAAATTCCGGTGACATCTAGCTTCAGAATAAGGCCCCAAAGCCTAGAAGAGGTTATATCCGTTTCAGAGCCCCATTCATGCAACTCACTGGGACAAAACTTTCCGTGATTAAAGGATCCCGGGTTTCATAAACTCAGTTTCCTAGAAAACAAAAGTCATATACACGCGTGAGGACAATCAGAATGTTTTTGGCATCTGGCCAGTGGGTAAGGAGTTGGCTATCAGGTTCACGCTTGGAGCATGCTAAGACAAGGCGTGTGGGGAAACAACAAGGCTGCCCTTTCTCTTATTAACAGGGGTATGTTATGTCAAAGGAGAATGTTTTCTCCACGCTCCAGGAAGGCCTAGCTGAGCAGCCTCTGGTCTGAGTGGAATGAGGCCGAGTGAGTCGAGCCAAGGATGGGGCGTGCTCTCCGCCTGCAGCTCTGGCCCTGGGAGCCGTGTTCAGTGCAGACCCACTCACCCCCGTCCTTCTCCTCTTGCCCTGGGAGAACACTGTGTGGCCTTAGAGGCAGCTGGGATGGTGACAGCACAGACACCTAAGGTTTGAGCCTCCTGGCTACCGTGCCACCCCACCTCACCCAGGTGGCTAACTCTCTCTTCACAACATTTGCAAAAGAGTCCCTACTAAACACTTCCCTAGTCAAAGCAATTCTCCAGGATGCTGTTGATCTGCTAATTGGTCCACCCCCTTGCTCAACCCAACCCTCTGGATTGTTTTTTAATTAGTTTGGTTGACCAAAAAGAACAGGAATTTCACACTTAGCTGCTTTGGCATTAAGATAGCATTAACTGTGATGGCCACAAACTCAACCCAGGTACAAAGAGGAGTAGAGATGCCCTTTCCCTTGTGGATAAATACCTCTGATGTTCCCAAGAGCACCTTCCCATGGCGGCAGGGCCAAAGGGAGAAAACTCAGGCTGCTTCTCCTGGTGGAATTCCTAACAAACTCCATCACTCAACCAAAGGTAACAATCAGTGTTTCTGTGCGGGAATTCCTTTCCTGCTTTTTTTGCTCAGGAAATTTAAGTTTTTCTGAATCCCAAGTTCTAAGAAAATTCAGTTGTGAAAACAGGAAAACCAGATTATTATGATGTTTCTGCAAGAAATGGAGTGAGCAATCAAGTCATCCTTGTTTCAATGGAAGCCACTGATTCAAGTCAAAAGTAAGAGCAAGAAAAGTCATACGTGGAGTCCAAGATTGAGGTCAAAATTTGTAGGAACCAGGATGGGCAAAGAGTTGAGACGCAGCATGATCTAATCAGTTGGCCTTGCTTATAGCTGTTACTGTATTATCTGAGTGTGTGCTTGCCCTGTCTGCTGCCAATGGTGTGGCATGATTGCAAATAAAATAAATATGAATACTCTTATACAGAGAATATACCTTACACAAATCCTGTGAGTGGTGTTCAAGAAATAACAAATTTGGGAAGCAAAATAAATCCTTACCTTGGCAGTAGTGACACATGATTCTGTGCATTTCTGTTAACCATGCCAGGAGATCCAAGTGTTACATTATTTGAATAATACCCCACGATATGCTCCGGTGTTTTCCAATGTTTGAATATTTGCTGTAGGCTACAGTTCTTTGTAAATATTTTAGTAGAAGAAATACAAAGATAAGACAACAATGTTGTGGAATACTACATGAAGTCAAAAATTGATATAAAATTTGAATTAGCAAAAGTAATGTTGATTCTAAAGGCAAAACCAAAATCCAGGCAAGCAGACAAAATACTTTCGCTGTTAAAAAAGAAATCAAGCAACATGTACCCTCATGCCCAAATTGAAAGTGTTTTTGAATGCACATTTATACTTTTACCAACTTAACACAAAATGAAAGAAGATTGTCTACATCTGCAATATTTGTTACAAAACAAATAGTGAGACTATTGCTGTTTTAAAATGTTATCTTTAAGAAGGGCAACTAGTAAATATCAAATATTCGTGATAATATCTTAGCATTTTAATTGATTTTATTTGGTGTATATTTTGTGCTGAAGTTTTCTTCTTTTCATGTTTTCTATTATCACATGTCACAATCAAGAAGAGATCACTTTTGCCCTTAGCAAAACATTTAATCTTGTCACAATACATCAGTTCATAATAATAATAAACCACACACTAATTATTATAGATTTTGCTTATACAAGGCTCCTAAAACTTTTAGTATAGCTCTATTAGGGGAAAAAATGATTTGCTATTTATTATGATCACTCATAATTAATTTAAAATACATAATTAAATATCAAAAAAATAAGAACTAACTTATGATTTAGGGATTCCCTACAATTCCCAGAAATTCCAATTTCTCATTCTTAAATCCCAAATACTAATATTTCTTGTGAGTTTGGAAACACTAGGCATGATGGTTAAGAAGGAAAGAGGCAAGATTAAGATTTGCAATGTAGGTTTTGGCATATAGAAAGTACAATTTTTGCCAAATAACACTATCCAGCATTGTAATAAAAGTTAATATAAAAAGACATCCAAGTTGAATAAAAGATGAATAAAGTTAATAAAATGAAAGCCACATTACTTCGATGATATAAAAATACGAAGGTAAAATGTCTCTTCCAATGTGTAGTATTTGTTTAGAGCTAACTTCTATTTCACTTAGAAATATGTGGAAGAGGTGATTTCTATCAACAGTAATAATAATAATTTAAATAGAAATATAAATCCTTAGAAATTTAGGTTCTAAATGTTAAAAATGCATTCTTTTACTCTAAATCATTTGATATACCTTTTTCCTTGATATTGGTGGCGAGAAAAAAGGAAAAAAAGGAAAGAAATAGAAAGGAGGCAATTCTTATATAATCTCATGGAAAAGTATATTTCCTTGAAAACAGTTTTTGGAGAGAAGCCTTGGTTCTGAAATAACTCAATAAAGTAAACATCCTCTGAGCTATTCCTAATTTATCTTTACTTCGTGGTGGTTGCAGATTGGACTCTCTAGGAAGCAGACGCTGAGGCAGAGTTAAGAGTGTATTTGGTTTTTTAGGGAGTAACACCTACTGAGGAAGAAAAGGGAGGAGGGAGGGAGCAGGATTGGGCAGGGGGAGCTGGTGGATAGCAAGGACAAATGGAGACAAATGACATGATTAGGCTCTGCCAGGGAGACCCAGGGCAAAGGTCACCTGTAGGGGAATCCCGTGTTGGGCATAGTTGGCAAGGTCTTTGCCCCA